ACCCCTGACCTACAAATGCATTACATTTTGGTATAGTCATTGCCTTTAGGACATAATATATGTAAAATCTATGCTAAGCCCTATATGGGAAACAGAGATAATCAAGATTTGCTCTTAAGCTAAAATCCAGTGAATGGACCTAAATAGTTTTGTTATTTACCAAGTTTTTATATCCTTTTATGGCCTAATAGCATGTTGTGGATAGTTGCCCAAGATCACATCAGTGGTAAGTGGCAAAAACAGAACTCAAATCCATGCCTTCTGATTCCATAGCCTGGGCTTTCTTTTTTTAAGTTTAGTTTTCATTTTTACCAAGGTTTTAATATGTCCATACTTTAAAGAGTGATGCAATAATCCAGGACTCTTTCACAGGTATGAAATCAGGGTGTTATCCAGACCTGAGGTCTCGTCTGAAGGCTCAAGTAGGAAAGGACTTCTCCTAAGCTTACTAGTTTAGTGGCAAAATTTCAGTTCCCTAAGGATGGTTGGACTGAGAATCTCAGTTTCTAGCTAGCTGTTAGCTGGAAGCTGTCCTCATTTTTTAAAAAATCATCCCTGGCTGGTGTGACTTAATGGATTGAGTGCCAACCTACAAACCAAAGGGTCGCCAGTTCGATTCCCAGTCTGCACATGCCTCAGTTGCAGGCCAGGTCCCCACTTGGGGGCGTGTGAAAGGCCACCAATCGATATATCTCTCACACATTGATGTTCTCTCCCTCTCTATCTCTCTCCCTTCGCCTTGTTCTAAAAGTAGATAAGCAAAATATCTTTAAAATAAAAAATTACTGCAGCCTCTCCACATAGCTACTTGCTGTATCAAAGCTAGCAAGGAGAGAACCTTCTACCAAGACAGCAGTTCAAACTTATGTGACCTAATCATGACAGTAACATCTAATCACTTTTGCCATATTCTTTTGATTACGAGCAAGTCACTAGGCCTGCCCATACTCAAGGGGAGAGGATGCAGAGGGGTATGAATATCGGGAGGCAACTATTCTTAGAGCTTACTCACTATAGCTGGACTCACTAATATGTTTAGGGCCTCAGCTGTGACAGCTGAGTTTCTCTTTCCATCTAGTCTCTTTGGGGCCAGCCTAGGCTTGTTCACATGGTGGCAGCAGCAGGTTATAACCATATGAGAAGAAACTATAAGGTCTCTTGAAGCCTAAACTCAGAACTCACACTGTGTCACTTCTTCTGCATTCTTTAGTCAAAGTTAGTTGCTAGGCCAGCCTAGATCTAGATATAAAGGATGGGCTACTAAAGCTAACCTCTTTTTTCTTTTTCCCCTGTGAGCAGTTTTTTTCCTTCAAAAATTGTTGTGGTAAAATATACATAACAAAATTTACCACGGTTATTTAAGTGTATAGTTCAGTGATGCTAAATGCATGTATAATGTTATGCAACAATCACTACCATCCATCTTCATAACTTTTTGCATCTTGTAAAGCTGACATTCTATACCCATGAAACAATAACTCCTTATTTTCCCCTCCTTGACAGCCTCTCTATCCATTAAATAATAACTCACCACTTTCCTCTCCCTCCCATTCTACTTTCTGTCTGTATAATTTTGACTACTTTAAGTATCATGTATAAATAAAACCATACAGTATTTGTTGTTGTTTTTTTTTGTCACTGGCTTATTTCACTTAGTATAATGTCCTCAGAGTTCATGTTGTAGCATACTGCAGAATGTCCTTCCTTTTTAAGGCTGAATAATATTGTATGTGTCTACATTTGCTTATCCATTAATCCATCAATGTACACTTGGGTTGCCTCCACATTTTAATTATTGTGAATAATGCTGCTATGAACATGGGAGTACAAATACTTCTTCAAAACCTTGCTTTGCCCTGGCTGGTGTGGCTGAGTGGATTGAGTGCCAGCCTGTGAACCAAAGGGCTGCCAGTTTGATTCCCAGTCAGGGCTCATGCCTGGGTTGCGGGTCAGGTCCCCAGATGGGAGTGTGTGAGAGGCAACCACACAGTGATGTTTCTCTCCCTCCCTTCCCCTCTCTGAAAATAAAATAAATAAATAAATAAATAAATAAATAAATAAATAACACTGCTTTCATTTTTTGGGGGGTGTATACCCAAAGTGGTATTGTTGGATCATATGGTTAATTTTATTTTTTAATTTTCTGAGAACCTACCATACTGTTTTCCCACCATACTATACCATTTTACATTCTAGAACTTCCTTTAAGGGAAGAGGTACAACAAATTTGTTATCCTTTTAAGTCTACCATGTACACTATTAGTTTTGATTTGCTAATATTTTGTTTGGAATCCTTGTATTTATATAAAAAGTGAAAATGCCTGTCATTTTCCTTTCTCATAACATCTTTGTCTAGTTGTGGCATCAGGATCTACTGGTCTCAAAATGAGGTGGAATTCCCACTCCAGACATAACGCCTGTCATAGGGGAGGCGCACAGAGATATTTAGTAGTTGAATGAATGAATGGACAAGTAAATGACTATAAAGGAAACAGAAGGGTAAAAGAAGGAGAGAAAATATCAGTAGTTGAATACGACAGAATTTTTTAAAAATGGAACTTCATAGTTTTAACTGCTTTCTTAACCTTATTTGTGTGGTCCTTTATAGGATGAATGTTCTAATGTTACTTGCTCTGCTCTCAAAGTGGAATTCACTTTGTTAAAGCAAAACAGAAACCTTTCCAAGTCCCTATAATTTCTATCATATTCTAAGGTCTCAGTTACTATGGTAGCTACAAAAAAGCAAATACAAGAAGTGGGACCTGAGAGTGAGGGGCATGTGACTGAAGTGCACCATAACTAAAAAACCAACTTGTTGAAAATTATTGCTCCCAGGACATTCAGTAATTCAAGGTTTTTGTGGGCCTGAGGACTTGGACAGGGTAAGCACTACAGATCATATCCAAAAATAACATCTCTGTGTTTCTTTCTAAAATATTGGCTCATAATCAGACCTTTGCAGACGATGTTCTCAGGTTTCCATGTGATGGATGAATGAATTGATATATATCAAAGCTGCTCTGTGGCATTTGAAATTCTCCGCACTTTTTAGTTTTGGTTGAAAATCTCTGTAAAACTTACTTTCAAATTGGCATATTTACCCTTCCTTCTTTGGAGTTTACCAATCTTAGATTTTGAAAAAATAACATAATTTTTATGATAGCTTCTCCCTATTCAGATTCAGACACTGCATATGATCAGATGACTAGAAGCCATCTGAAGAAATGGATGCTTTAGCTGCTGAGCTAAACTCATTATACACTTCAGTAGTACATTTGGTTCTGGGTATAGAGGCCTGAAGCCGACAGGGAAGCGTATTAATTATATGGAAGTCATTGCCTGTCAGTAGGAGACAGATCAATTCATCTTTAGAGATAATATTTTTCCTCAAGTTCAACTTTCACTTTCTCCTTCCAGAGAGGTATTAAATCATAGCTTTATTTGATTTTTTGTGAGAATCAAGTAAGAGCATTATTACCTTATTTAGTCCTTATAACGAGCTTATGGTTATCCCCATTTTACAGATGAAACTGAGAAACAGAGGTTTAGTATCTTGCTTAAAGACATGCAGCTAGTAAGTGGTGTTCATACCCAAGTGGTCTGGCCTCAAAGGCGCTCTTCTTACTTATATGCTACGCTGCCTCTGTGAAAATGCTTTTGGTAGCTATAGATAGAGACTATGTGGATCTGAGCAGATTTTGTTAAGTGGCCAAAAATGGTTGCCTCTGAAGAGCTTATAATGTGGTTGGGGTAAAGAAATATAACCCGTGAAAGAGCAATAATAGGACAGCCTGCAAAATTACCATCTGTCAGGTAACCGTACCTTCAGTGAATATGTGCCTTGTTTTCTTTGAGTGTACCCACAAACAGCATCAGATGTCATGCATAGTAGACACATAGTTAATGTTGGTTGAGTGTAGATGACCTTAAATAATGTTATTCCCATTTTCACAGTGAGCAGACCTAGGTGATTATTTGCAAAGAAAGAATTCCTTGTACTTTCTTTTTTTTTGTTTAATGTTTTAAAAATATATTTCTTTATCTTTAGAGAGAAGGTAAGGGAGGGAGAGAAGCATCAATGTGTGAGAGAAACATCTACTGGTTGAGTCTCACATGCCCTCAACAGGGGGCTTGGCCCTCAGAGCAGGCATGTGCCCTGACAGGGAATCAAACCAGTGACTCTTTGGTTTGCGGGACAACACCCAGCCCACTGAGCCACACCAGTGAGAGCTGTACTTTCTATACCATGCACCAGGCCTGTGATTCATCTACTTAGTTTCTTAACTGTCCCTTAGTCTCTTGACTGCCCCTCTTTTTAAAAAGTTTTTATTTCTTTCTTTATTTTTCACAAACAAAAATTACATATATTCAAGGTGTACAAGGTGATATTTTGATATATGTAGACATTGTGAAGTGATTACCACAGTCAAACTAATTAACATACCCATTACCTCCTTAACTTTTTATTTTTTAAATCATATCAAATTTATAAAATTGTTACAAGAATAATATAAAGAACTTATATATCCTTCACCCAAATTCCCCAAATGTTAATTGCTTTATCATTCTCTCTTATAATCTGTATTCAATATATACCATACACATATACAATGTACACACAATTATTATTTTTCTGAGCTATTTGAGAAGAAGGTGCAGGCATCATTCCTTTTACCTTTAAAAACATATATATCATTTCTCCTCACCCTCCACCCCCCTGATCAAAATGGACAGTCCCTTAAAATAGGAAATTACATTGACACGAAACTTTAATCTACAGAACTTATTCAAAATTCACGGTTAACCTAATAATATCCTTTAGAGCAATAAAAAAAAATTTGACTACCTGTCTTTTAAACATTGTAATGAGTATGTGCTGCACAACACTCAGTCTTGTATTTGGTTCTGAGAGAAACGTGAGCAGGTACCCTGTTCCCTGACGTAGTCATACAAGCAGGGCAAATGTCTTTGTTTGATTTTCCTTCTTTTGTATGATTCAGTGGAGCAGCGTGACTTCATTGGAGTGGACAGCACAGGAAAGAGGCTGCTCTTTATGGTTAATGAAGCGGACTTGGATGAAGAGCTGGTCATTAAGGGATCCATCCTGCAGAAGTAAGCCCTAGGGTTTTTCTTCTTGGCAATTCTTCTTGTCTTAAAACAAAATAAAACCACCCAGTGGATGGGAAAGAGGGAATGAAAACTAGATTATACTGTGTGAAATTAACAAAAGTATGCGAATGTTTTCCCATGAGATGGAATGGAGGCTTTTCTCCACCACATAAGCTTAGCTTTTCCCGGTGTCTTTTCTTGCCAAGGTAGAGTCAAATCCTGCACTGGGGTGCGGCAGAGCAGCTGTGGGGAGACCAGGGGGCAGGACTGCTTTTCTGACAGTGCTACAGAGCTTCCTTTTAAAAAAACGTTGTGCTAAACTCACAGCATAAAATGTACTGTCTTAACCATTTTAATGGACATTTCAGTCGTGCTAAGTATATTCACATGGTTGTGAAACAGATCTCCACAACTTTTTCATCTTGCAGTTTTAAAGTTCTATATCTATTCAACAACTGTCCTTCTTCCTTCCTCAGCCCCTGGTAAATACTATTCAGTTTCCTGTTTCTGTGGTTTTGACTACTTTAGATACTTCATATAAGTGGAATCATAAAGTATTTGTCTTTTTGTGACTTGCTTCCCTTTGTGTAATTTCTTCAAGGTTTGTCTGTGTTGTAGCACATGTCAGAATTTCCTTCCTTTTTAAGGCTGCATAATATTCTATGTATGTCTACATTTTAAAAATATTTTAAGTACTTTTTTAAATTTTTCAATTACAGTTGATGTACAATAGTATATTAGTTTCAGGTCTACAACCCAGTGATTAGACTTTTACATAATTTATGAAGTGATCACCTTGACAAACTTAGTACCCATCTGACACCATACATAGTTATTACAGTATTATTGACTGTATTCCCTATGCTGTACTTTACATCCCTGTGACTCTTCTGTAACTACCAATTTGCACTTCTTAATTCTGTCACCTTCTTCACCCATTCCTCTAACGCCCCTCCCATCTGGCAGCCGTCAAAATGTTCTCCGTATCTATGAGTCTGTTTCTGTGCTGCTTGTCTGTTTATTTTGTCTTTTAGATTCCATATATGTATGTGAAATAACCTGGCATTTGTCTTTCTCTGTCTGACTTATTCCACTCAGCACATTACCTTCTAGGTCCATCCATGTTGTTGCAGATGGCAAGGTTTCTTTGATCTTTTTTAATGGCTGAGTCATATTCCATTGTATATATGCACCACTTCTTCGTGTGTCCATTTATCTGTTGATGGACACTTAGGTGGCCTCCATCCTGGTTATTGTAAATAATGCAAATAACCTGGTTACAATCCTGGTTATTGTAAATAATGCTGCAGTGAACATATGGATGCATATGATTTAGTGTTTTGGGTTTCTTCAGCTAAATACACGGAAGTGGAATTGCTGGGTCCTTCTTCATCTCTTGTTATAGCCCTTGCTTTAAAGTCTGTTTTGCCTGGTATCAGTATTGCTACCCCAGATTTTTTTTTAATTTCTATTTTCATGGAATATCTTTTTCTATGCCTTTACTGTCAGTCTGTGTGTGTCTTTTGATCTGAAGTGAGTCTTGTACACAGCACATGTAAGGAACTCATTTTGTTATCCAAGTAGTCACTGCATGTCTTTTGATTGGAGCATTTAATCCATTTTCATTTAGATATGTATTTATTGCTATTTTATTATTCATATTTTTTATCTTTTTTCTTTTCTTTTTTTTTAAGATTTTATTCACTTTTAAGAAAGAGGGAAGGGAAGGAGAAAGAGAGGGAGAGAAACATTGATATGCAAGAGAAACTTCAATTGGCTGCCTCTCACACACCCCCAACCAGGACGGGGCCTGGCCCACACCCGGCATGTGCCCTGACCGTGAATCAAACCAGCAGCCCTTTGGTTCACAGGCCACTGAGTCATATCACCCAGGGCATTGATCTTTTTTTCTTCTTCTTCAAATAGAAGACTCCTGAACTTTCTGGTAATATAGGTGTGGTGGTGATGACCTCCTTTGGCTTCTTCTTTTTCTTTTTTAAGTATATTTTATTGATTATTGCTAGTACAGTTGTCCCGTTTCTTTCTCCCCTTTATCATCCTCTACCCTGTACCCCAACTCTCTTCAGCATTCCCCCCTGTAGTTCATGTCCATGGGTTGTACATGTTAAGTTCTTTAACTTCTCCATTTCCTGTACTATTCCTGACCTCCCCCTGTCTATTTTCTACCTACCAATTATGCTTTTTATTCCCTGTACCTTTTACCCCATTCTCCCCTGCCCCCTCCCTGTTGATATCCCTCCATGTAATCTCCATTACTGTGGTTCTGTTCCCGTTCTTGTTGTTTGCATAGTTTGTTTTTGTTTTATTTTAGGTTCAGTTGTTTTTTTTAAAACGTATTTTATGGAGTATGCTATTACAGTTGTCCCATCCCCCCCCCTTTATTCCCCTCTGTCCTGCACCTATCCTCCCACCCTCATTCCTCCCCCTTAGTTCATGTCTATGGGTCATACATGTAAGTTCCTAGGCTTTTCCATTCCTTATACTATTCTTAACCTCCCCCTGTCTATTTTGTACCTACCATTATTGCTTTTTATTCCATGTACCTTTTCCCCTATTCTCGCCCCCTTCCCACTGATAACCCTCCATGTGATCTCCATTTCTGTGATTCTGTTCCTATAGTTTGTTTTTGTTTTTGTTTTTTTTTAGGTTCAGTTGTTGATAGTTGTGAGTTTGCTGCAATTTTACTATTCATAGTTTTGATTATCTTTTTCTTAGGTAAGTCCCTTTAACATTTCATATAATAAGGACTTGGTGATGATGAACTCCTTTAACTTGACCTTATCTGGGAAGCACTTAGTCTACCCTTCCATTCTAAATGATAGCTTTGCTAGATAGAATATTCTTGGATGTAGGTTTTTGCCTTTTCATGACTTGGAATACTTCTTTCCAGCCCCTTCTTGCCTGCAAGGTTTCTTTTGAGAAATCAGCTGATAGCCTTATTGGAATTCCTTTGTAGTTAACTGTCTCCTTTTCTCTCACTGCTTTTAAGATTCTCTCTTTACTTTTAATCTTGGGTAATTTAATTATAATGTGTCTTGGTGTATTCCTCTTTGGGTCCAACTTCCCAAAGAGGGATTCTCTGTGCTTCCTAGACTTGTATGTCTATTTCCTTTGCCAGACTGGGGAAATATTTCTTCATTATATATTTTTTTTCAAGATTTTATTTATTTATTTTTAGAGAGGGAAGGGAGGGAGAGAGAGAGAGAGAGAGAGAAACATCAATGTGCGGTTGCTGGGGGTTATGGCCTGCAACCCAGGCCTGTACCCTGACTGGGAATCGAACCTGCAACACTTTGGTTTGCAGCCCGCGCTTAATCCACTGAGCTACGCCAGCCAGGGCTCTTCATTATATTTTCAAATAAGTTTTAAGTTTCTTGCTCTTCCTCTTCTCCTTCTGTCACCCCTATGATTCAAATGTTGGAACATTTAAAGTTGTCTCAGAGGTTCCTAAGCCTCTCCTCATTTTGTTTTTTAATTGTTTCTTCATTCTGTTCCAGTTGAATGTTCATTTCTTCCTTTTGTTCCAAATCATCAACTTGAGTCCCAGTTTCCTTCCCTTCACTGTTGATTTCCTGTATATTTTTCTTTATTTCACTTTGTATAGCCTTCACTTCTTCCTTTATTTTGTAGCCATACTCAATCATTTCTGTGAGCATTGTGATTACTCGTGTTGTCAACTCTGCATCTGATAGGTTGGCTATCTCCTCCTCTTGCTTAGTTATTTTTCAGGAGTTTTTATCTGTTCTTTCATTTGGGCCATATTTCTTTTGTCTCAGCACACCTGTTATATTCTAAGAGGTGGAGCCTTAAGTATTCTCCAGGGCGGGACAACCCACCTGGCTACATTGTGGTGCTTATATGGGGGAAGAGTCAGAGAAGGAACAATACCACTTGTTTGGCTCTTGCCCTGCTTTCAAGAGACTGGCAGTTTCAACCACTGCCACAACCCCTGCAGGTCTTTATAGCCAGAGGTTCTGAGGCTTTATTTTGCCTGCACTAGAACTCGAGGTTGCTTGGTCTGTCTCACTCCCTAGTTGTTCCTCCCAGTTTATCCACACGTGAATGTCAGACCACCCCATGTGTCTGTTGCCACCTTGCCACATGTCCTCTCAGCCCATGCTACCCATCTTTGCCCCTCCTGCCAGTTTGGATGAATGTTTCTTTTTTAACTTCTTGGTTGTCAGACTTCCATACAGTTCGATTATGTGGCAGTTCTGGTTGTTTTTTATTTTTAAATTGGTTGTTTCCTTCTTTTGGCTGTGCAAGGAGTTGAATCATATCTACCTGTGCCTCCATCTTAGCCAGTTCTGTGGCTTTTTCTTGTCTGAGAAGTTCTTTATCTGTCCTTTGATCCTAAATTATTGCCTTGCTGGGTAGAATAATTTTGGTTGTAGGTCCTTGCTTTTCATCACTTGGAATATTTCCTGACAATCTCTTATGTCCTCCAGTTTCTGTTGAGGAATCAGCTGACAGTCTTATGCAAGCTCCATTGTAGGTCACTTGCTGCTTTTGAGATTCTTTGTCGTTAACCTCTGGTATTTTAATTATGATGTGTCTTCATGTGGGCCTCATTCCGTCCATCCTGTTTGGGACTCACTGCACTTCCTGAATTTACATGTATATTTCCTTTACCAGGTTAGGGAAGTTTGCCATCATTTTTTCACATAGGTTTTCAGTTTTTTACCTTCTCTGTCTTCTCCCAGCTCCTCCAAGATATGACTGTCGAGATACACTTGAAGTTCTCCCAGAGGCTGCTTATACTATCCTAATTTTATTGGATTCTTTTTTTCTTTTTGCCATTTTGATTGGGTGTTTTCTGCTTCTTTATCTTTCAAATTGCTGATTTGATCCACTGCTTCATCTTTTCTACTGTCGGTTCCTTATAATGTATTCATCATTTTAGTTACTGTATTCTTAATTTTTGACTGGTTCTTTTCTATGTTTTCTAACTCCACTTTTATGTTTCCTGTCTTTTTGTTGAA